CATGTTCGCAATTGAACGGCCGATGGGTGCCAAATTTAAGGCAAAAGGAGTCTTGATAAGCTTCCAAATATTAATAGGGGCAGCTGCTGGCAACAAAAAAGGAAATCATCTACAGGCGCGAGATAGCATTTATCAGCAATACTTCATTTTGTCCGCGATTGTTTTCGCGAGGGAACATTTTTTACCTGACCAACTTCCTTGCCGCGTGAGCTAAAGTACAATTCTTCATAGCAAGCAGTACAAGCATTGGAAGAAAAAAATATAAAAAAAGCTGAGGAAGAATATAAACAAACAAGAACGGGATCGAAAACTCATACAAATTGAAGGAGGCAACTTATATTTTGTACCTTGGTACCCTGCACAATTTGTCAAAAGACTTTGCAAGCAATCCTCTCCAGCTCTTCAAAGCACTCAAACGAGATAGACTAACCCTCTGATATAGGAAGGGTCTCCTACGTGCCGGATCTTCAAGCTCATCAATCTTCTCGTCAGCAGCCAGTCTCCTACGTGCCGGATCTTCAAGCTCATCAATCTTCTCGTCAGCAGCCAGTCTCCTACGTGCTGAATCTTCAAGCTCATCAATCTTCTCGTCAGCAGCCAGTCTCCTACGTGCCGGATCTTCAAGCTCATCAATCTTCTCGTCAGCAGCCAGTCTCCTACGTGCCGGATCTTCAAGCTCATCAATCTTCTCGTCAGCAGCCAGTCTCCTACGTGCCGGATCTTCAAGCTCATCAATCTTCTCGTCAGCAGCCAGTCTCCTACGTGCCGGATCTTCAAGCTCATCAATCCTCTCGTCAGTAGCCAGTCTCCTAGGTACCGAATCTTCAAGCTCATCAATCTTCTCGTCAGCAGCCAGTCTCCTACGTGCCGAGTCTTCAAGCTCATCAATCTTCTCGTCATCAGCCAGTCTTCTACGTGCCGGATCTTCAAGCTCATCAATCTTCTCGTCAGCAGTCAGTCTCCTGAGTGCCGGCTCTTCAAGCTCATAAATCTTCTCGTCAGCAGCCAGTCTCCTGCGTGCCCGATCTTCAAGCTCATCAATCTTCTCGTCAGCAGGCAGTTTCCTACGTGCCTGATCTTCAACCTTTTTAGCCCTCTTGATAGCCACTATCCTCCTACGTGCTAGATCTCCAAGTTCTTTAGCTCTCTTTTTACTCACCAATCTTCTGCGTGCCGGATCTTCCAGTCCTATTGTTTTCTTGACAGCCACCAGTCTTCTACGATCGGGATCCTGAAGCGCTTCAATCCTCTTGTCCGACACCAGTCTCTTACGTGCCGGATCTTTAAGCTCATCAATCTTCTCGTCAGCAGCCAGTCTCCTACGTGCCCGATCTTCAAGCTCGTCACTCTTCTCGTCAGCAGCCAGTCTCCTACGTGCCTGATCTTCAAGCTCATCAATCTTCTCGTTAGCAGCCAGTCTCCTACGTGCTGAATCTTCAAGCTCATAGATCTTCTCGTCAGCAGCCAGTCTCCTACGTGCCGGATCTTCAAGCTTATCAATCTTCTCGTTAGCAGCCAGTCTCCTACGGGCTGAATCTTCAAGCTCATCAATCCTCTCGTCAGCAGCCAGTCTCCTACGTGCCGGATCTTCAAGCTCATCAATCTTCTCATCAGCAGCCAGTCTCCTACTTGCCGGATCTTCAAGCTCATTAATCTTCTCGTCAGCAGCCAGTCTCCTACGTGCCGGATCTTCAGGCTCATCAATCTTCTCGTCAGCAGCCAGTCTCCTACGTGCTGGATCTTCTGGCTCATTAATCTTCTCGTCAGCAGCCAGTCTCATACGTGCCGAATCTTCTT